ACAGAGGTTAGTTACGACCGAAAATTAATATTTTTCACCATGTGTTTGATAACCATCCCATTACCACGTTTTAAATGTACATTTGTCATTTATCACGGTTAGAGAGCTTTTCAGGATCCGACTACGTATTTAGATGGTTATTCATGGCTGTCTCGTACAAGCGAACGTACGGAAAAATAGATATTTCGTGTTTATCATGTGCAGCGGGCTCAGTAAAAACCGTATTTCTCCGGGAAAGTTCATTTGGCTCTTACTAGTCTAAAGTAAGGTAAGGATGACAGAGTTTAACGCAATCCGTGGGGAAGGATGAATGAGCCTCTCATGAAAACAGAACATTTTTACTACTTAGGATATTTAAGTAACGTGATTACTAAAGCAGCGCCTCCGACAGGTCGCGAAGCGCGGCTGGGACAAAAACTGCTCATCCAGTTGTTCGGCAGGCAGACTAGCACTCAATTCTGAGCACTTGAATACGCGCGCACACGCGTATTCTTTAGATACGCGCGTAAATGGGTGAAAGCGCGGCATTCAACAGATACTTAGCATGAGACGAAATAAGCGACCACGAGGGGCTTTCATTGTAGTCATTCGGTAAGTGGCTCAACCTGCTCAAGAAACCTCGCATGCAATGTGTACGCCTGCTCGGGCTGGCCGGAAGAGAAAAAAAATAAACCCACCAACTAAATAGGAGAGCGATTTAAGAATTCACTCACCAGGGTAGCGGAACATCCGCAAAACGAGAACCCCCTAATTGTTTGTTCCCACATAAATCAAGGAAACCCCGCATGAATGACCTTTAACTCCGCCCGATTACCTATACTACTCCATCCAACAACATACGGCGTGAAGGCCAGACTGGCCCAACTGCCTGATGTGACGGTGGCGAGCGGCCATCTGTGGCAACGAATTACCGACTGCAAGACACGTAGTCTCTTTGGTACGCGTTGGTCGCGCCTTCCTTTGGACCAACGATCCAACGGTTCGCTGTCTGATGCCCAGGGGTTCAAGCGATGCTAAATACACATTTGTCGATCATCCAAATGGAACGTGGGTCTCAAAAGTCTTACTCCCAGAAGGGACGCTCGGATTTTCAAAACGAATTTCTGAAGAGAGGAGATCAGTTCATAAAATATTAAAGACACAGTTACCAATCGTTTAGACATCTTAAAATGGACCTATAGAACGAAGTTTTCCAACACAACCAATATGATCTTGCCTGGCATTGTCTTCACATCAAGAGAACAGCTGAAGATGAGGTGTGCTAACACAATTTGGAAGCTGATAGGTTGCAACGGGAGTCGGTTGAACTCCATGGCACAAAAACAGCAACGTGAAGATTAATGGATACACAGTTCATCGGGGTCGCTTTCGTGACTACACCAAGTAAGTAAACGCAGTAGAATAAGTGCTCGAAAAATCCATCGGCTTTTTGCTCATGCATCACTATTTCTGAGTTAGTTGTCACTGTCTTTGACTGCAGAACGTGAAAGTACTGGTAAAAGTGAACCTTGAAGTTTTCAAGGTGGTGTGAATTATTCATGCGATTTGGCTGTCGGGAGAGAAGATTGCTCGTGGCATCACGTCAACCGGAGTGTGCGCGCACGTGACGCATGCGGTTTCTGAATGTTACGCGTAAACGGACAAGCACACATGTCGGTTGTGTAAAAGATACATGGAAAGCAGATGTTCGGCTCGAGCCGAACCGGGTGCCATACTGAAAGAACTGAATTAGACATTGAACACATCATCATCGATAGCATGGCATCAGTGTTCAACACCGATGCTTCACTGCCGTATGTCATGGCTGTATGAGGGCTCGGATACCGCCAGGGCGCCCACAGCTAGACAGGAGGACGATTAGGGACCTCAACCAACAAAGCCTTTGGCTCAAAAGCCTAACCGCGGTGTTTGGTGGGGACAAGCCGCCACATGTTCCGACCCCCAACCTGGAGGGCCAGGAGATTGTGCTCGTCAGACCCCTAACCACTGACCAACGTGGTATGAGAGACTCTGTGAGTGTCGCGGGGACACTCCCCAGTATAGCTCAACGGATCGCTGAGGTGCGCAAACCGTCACACCACGGTGTGACGGAGTCCTATCTTTTCCTGGCACTTCTTCGTGAACACTCTAAATGGCTAACTAAGCAGTTTGTCGTTGTAGACTACCAACTGGGCGTCAGAATTCCAAGAGAAATAAGATAGCATCCATTCTAAGTCTTCGTTTAACCTTACTAAAAATAAACTCTGTCGGTCGCCTTAGCCTAGGGATATCCTGTAGACTCCAAGCGCATTGGTCATCTCGTATAAATCTGAAGGCCCCAAGAAGAGGAACCAAACTATCCTACCAAGCAAAAGTAAGCCATAATAGGAGCTGAATAAACTAACCGGAAAGCCGCGCTCCACCAAACGGTTGTTGTCCAACGACAGACCCCGTAGATTGTACGTTCACATAAAAGTTTCCGGCAGTATCGATCAATCGATCTGTGGCTTTTTTAATAAATGCCTCGTCTTTGGCAAATACAGAACCTGGAAAAGGAGGACTATGTTTAACGCAACTGGAGAACTAAAGAACAACTGTTTACGACATGAAATCGGTGACGAAAATAGGATTGGGGCAGCACAACTGATGCACAGTTATATTACTCCCTCTATTCTACGATCAACCTTTCTCCAAAGCGACCTCGTAGTTGTGCACAGGGATCGCCAGCTACGTTGGGACGACTCCCCGAAAAACAACACAATTCACTTGGCTATTCTCAGGTCAAAATAGATTACGAACAATGTATTGCCATCAAGCAAAACATGAAGGCGTCAGATAGGGTGATTATAGCTCTCTAACAGAAGGAACTGGTCTTTATGAAATAAAACATGGGAATTAGTTGCGTTTTAGTTGAATGTACAGGTGTTGAACCCTTTGTTTATTTGTCCTAGTAATCCGACGAAAGAGAGTTTGTTCCACTTTCGTTAGTTCGATGCTCGTACCCTTCCTAAGGATGTAGCGACCTTTTTCACGTCCACCTGTGTATACGATTCAAGTATTCAATAACCTGTGCACACATTTGAATGACACTTAGTGATGCGTTTGCAACAATGAACTGCTCCTACTTGATGAGCCCCAAGAAGGGTGAAACCGGTCGTGGGCTGTCGAAGAATTTCCAGCAACCTCATGAGTAGTGCATAGCAATGGCCTACATGTTTTTGTTCGATCCTTTTAATTGGGTCAGTAGGAACGGGTAATTCCATTCTATAAAGCGAAATCGGAATACGACCGGCGCTATTCAAAAACACCTGCACGAGGAAGACGATTCGCCTATTGCAATAAAATGACTGTAAACGGGGAAGACATGATAAACAGCATCGGTACCTTTAATTAGTCGTACTTCAGCTGTGTCACCTGCATTTTCAAAATGTGCAACCATCGAGCATGTCAAATCATGTGTCATCTAGAAAAGTCTGCTGCTTTTACTGGCAGCATCACCAACAGCGATTGATATATCGGAACCAATGGCAAGAGGCGACTCTTCCCTTTGAGGAGTGAGTCCACCATTCACTTAGCCAGGAAGTGTCTCCATAGAATCCCTCGAGAGAGAATCGATGCGACAAAATCATTTTACGAAGAACTGTCAGCTAATGTCGCCTCGGTACAGAGGAGCCTCTTACTAGTGAAACGGTGATACTACTGATGGGGGAGGCATGGGAGTAGTATGTTTTCTCGTATTTGCGTCTATTGAAAAGTGAGATCTATTACGGAATTTGTGGACTCGCTTGTAGCATTTGCTTGGATTTGAGCAACAGTAAATGAATACCCAGGAAAGTTTAGAAAGACGCGTTCAAAGAGAAGATGGACATTCAGTTTTTGTAAACAAGATGCATATGAGAGTTTTGCTTCCCTGTCCAATAGTCTAACTGTTCGGTTGGCATTTTCCAATAAACAACTCCGCAGCGAAGGCCTTCTTCCTTTCACTAGTAGTAAGCAGAATAGAAAAGTCGTGGATACTAGGCTGCTTATCCGAAAAAGTTTCATCCGATTCGTGTGGTTTTTGCTGCGAGCGTTAACAAAATTCTCGTGTGTTAGTGGTTTTCGTGAGCTTATCTGCGCTCAACGTTTGTTCGTCCATTTCCGATCAATGCTTTTGACTGCTTTGGTCAGTCGAGTGACTAATTTTCACTCACTCGGCCGATTAGTTGTGTCAGCAACCATTCGTATTTTTTCCTCGTAGTGTGTGTGATATAAGTTGGACAGTTGGATATGGGAACAATCGTTGGTAAAATTTCGTAGGAAGTATATTCTCTTGAAAACACGACTCCCAATCTCTCGCTATTGCAAAAATGTGAGTGTCGACAGAATTCCCTTTCCTTTTTTCAAGGGTTTTGCTTTCATACAGCAACGTAGCAGTGATGAGTGATAGGTAAGGAATGAACGAAGAATCGTTGAAGCGACACATCATCCAACTTGCATAGGGTGGTTAGCTAGATTTTCCCAGCAAAACATAGCAGCTTTGTGGCACATGGCCAGCCCGCGTTCGTGTTTTGTCACGTGTAGGAAACAGCAGCGGGGGTGAAATGGCCATTGTATTAGTGAGAGAAAGAGCGCCTTCGAGTGCGGAGTTGTTTATCGACCAACACGAACTAAGCTGTTACAAGCTATTTGACACGAAAGTAAAAAACCCCGATCGCACAAGATTTTTGAAAAGTAAACATCCGCAAACGTCCCCTGAACTTTTGTGGGTAGTGTTTGAATGCTAAAAACAGGAGATAAAAATGGAAAATGGTACAATAATTTCCATATCAAACTTCAGTCAGATTTAGGGACGGCCCTTCAACACTTGACCGGTTACTACTCGCATGTTTCATCAGTAGTATAGGCCACTACACTAGCATGCGTATTTCTCCCCTTGGAACGAAGTTATAAACAAGAGAGTAGCCTATGCGCTTCCTCGAGGTAAGCCACCTGCACGTGATGATTTGTCAACTTTTCCGTCGAATACAGCCAACAATCAGAACTCATAAAGCCAGAAAATGTCAACGCAGTCTGTAAATGTAACTGCGTTCAACTCTGCATGCAATGCGTCACATCCCACCGAACTGTTTAGGATTCACCGCCCACAATCTGGTAGTCCTGAGCTAACGTCAGATGCAAAACAACAGCTTGGACAAAACGACTGGTAGAGTACAAATCCCGTCACGATCGAGGATACACACTGCTGATGAGCTATAATAAGAGCGAAACTCTTATCCAGTTATTCCACCCTTTGGTGTGGATTAATCAGAACTTCGCGAGAACTGCCTACTCGAAGTTGCCCGGAATATAAATTCTACAAATTCTGCGAAGACTTACAACAATACACCGACTGTACTTTCTTTCCGAACTGATGCCAATGGAGTCAAACATGGGCAAGATTCACAGCCTGATTGCTTACCCGTGAGAGCGTAATCGGTTGTGGAGTCAAGCAAATCCAATGTTTCGTCCACCTTGCTGTCCTCGTACAAGTAGGCACAGACAATCGGTCCGAATATATCATCCTATATCAAGGGAACCAGTGGATTAATTGAAGACTACTAAAACGCAGTGGTTTACGCATGGACAAATAAAGTCAATAATATAAGAACTCAACAGAAAAATATCTAACCAAATGGTAGGGTGAAGGACAGTCGGCATAGCCTGAAAGTGTTGCTTTTCTACTCAAACTCGTAATATCAAACGTTTGATGGATTCTCACCACAACAAGGCACTGCTGAATCCAGCCGAAAATAATTTGACACTGTGATGCAAATAGTAATTCTGAATCGTTTTCGAAAAAGTTTGATGACAATCGGTAGATTTATTGCTGGGCAACGTTTCGCTTTTGACACAAAAGCCTCGTCAGGCCAAGTGACTAGGTTCCGAGGTTGGTCGAGATTTAAGGCGGAAGGAGAACCAATCAGCTAAGTGAAGCTAAATCTCCATTGGGTGTCGGTCAAGGGATTTTTGTGTGTTAGAGTGGTTGAACAAGTGTTGGGTCTGAATGCTGGTGGGTAGTTGCGGGAATCGCCAAATCCAACTTAGTCGGGTTATGTAACTGGCTGTAGTACTGACTCGACGATCCGGGTGGAACAGTCAAACAAAAAACTCCCAGAAAACAAGTTATACATATATATTACTACTAAATGGGGAAAACTATCAACACTCGTAGCATGTGTATTCAGAAACTGTGCGAGGAGATATATGTTTTATGGACAAATATTTTCAAGAATAAACACTGTGAAGTTTCCTAAATCTACAAACTTGTGCTGAGCAGTTAGGAACACCTGTCCAATTGGGGCTACTAACTTCAGTCCACGATGCATTGAAATGTTGAGATAAGAAAGTGAAGGTGGCGTTGTCTTACGATCTCCTTTCATTTAGCTGGGTCTGTGGGCGATCATCGGTCTTATCGAACTTTTCACATCCGGTCTGCGAAAATATGTTGCAGTTTCCACAAAGGAAACTACTCACAAGGTTGCTGAAAACCCTTCGACAGCCCACGACCGGTTTCGTCATTTTTGGGGCTCATCAGGTAGGCGCAGTTCCCGGGTTTCCGTCAACCTTATGTTCTACTTGAGCCCAAATTGAACTGTTTTCGAGAAATACACTCAGTTGCAAATCAATTTGGTTTTCGTCCAAAGTCCGTTAGAAAGCCCAAGCGTCCTCGGTCTAAGGATATCACCATGTACTTGACTGCACGCCATCTTTGCATGGAGATTTTGCTTTGTGACTAATATGGTCGGAGGAATAATGACAATTCACGACAAAAGGCCATTATCATCTGTACATGAACGACCTCGGCAGATCTTGTTTGCTCGTATAAGTTGGTCGATTCTCTCGTTTAAAGTACATACATGAGTACAGACCTTCCAAACTAAATGCTCGAAGATTAAAGCGCGAAATTACCGACTAGAAAGGCCGTGGTCTGAAACCGACCTCAGCATCTCGACTACCCCTGTCTATGCTTGGGCAACCTGGTAGTACCTCAGCCCTCATGCTTCTCTCGAGTGACATGGTGACTATGTACCACAAAGGTGTTACATATAAAATATCATTATTTTCATTTGACAAATCACGGTTTGATCAGATTCCGTGATCCCCGGGCAGGTATAATCGCTGGGTCGGTAACTCAATCACCATCAGTAACGGGTAAAGGAAGGTGAGTGAGTCACGGAGAAGCTAAATTCCAAGATGGAGAAAGCATGGATAGGTAAATTTTGGAAATAACTGTAGGTATACCTGATTAGTCAAGTAGTTTTCGGCCGCCTTACACTCTAGCAATCAAAGAGGAGCTAGAGCTAGGCTGTTCTCCCTCCCGACACGAAGAGACTGGACCTTACCGTGGTGTGGGGGTTTGTGTACCTCGAAGACCCATTGAGCTATACTGGGGAGTGTCCGCACGATGCTCACAGAGTCTCTCATACCAGGCTGGTCCATGGGTAGAGGTCCGACGAACACAGTCTCCTGGCCCTCCAGGTTGAGGGTTGGAACATGTATGGCGACGTGTTCCGTAAAAAAGGCAATGTACTTGCATTTCCAGCCGAACACCGTTGCATTGCGGTTAGGCTTTTGAGCCAAAGGCTTTGGTTGAGGACCCTAATCGTCCTCCTCTCTAGGTGTGGGCGCCCTGGCAGTATCCCAGCCCACGTACAACCATGAACTGCACATACACAAATAAATTCATGCCACATCGGCCGTCGCGTGGTGCCATCAGCCCGGTCGCCTTACTTGCTGCATACAGCAGGGCGGGTAAGCGAAAACATGCTCCTGCTGACGCCTCCCTTCTTACACTTTCACGTTTTCCTTCTTCCACCCTCCCCCACCCAAATT